TACCTAGTCAAAGTACCTAGCCTTAACAAACTACGGTAAATACCTCGCCTTAACAAAACTCTCGCTTGCTTAACCTACGGGCGCGGCTTTCCAATCTACCCGCTAACAAACAAAAAAAAAAGCAAGCAACAAAAGAATATAATTTTATTATTACGTATTAGGCCGGGCGTGATTGTAGACACAAATTAAACCAATCCAACCACGCTCTGCTTCCAAAATGTTACGGCCTACAGCTGCTCCTGCAAACGTCGAATCTCCCGGGGCCCATGAGCGTAAGATTCAACGAGCAGCCGCAGGTTCGAGTCCGAGTGGCTATATGGAAGAATTTCCTATAATACTAAGCTATATGGAAAATGTTTTATCCTACCACAATTTAATGGGGAGGCTAGTCAAATAGAGATTACTTACCTGTATATGAGGCGACTGCTGTCTCAGGGCTCGGTCAGGCCGGAGGTGTGTATGTGAGTATAGTGGTGTTTTTGTGGTATTGGCTGTGATAGACCTGACTGGACTGTTGAAGTCGGCAGCAGCCCGGACTTCGGCACCACTCCAAATTGTGGTAATCTCCAGCGGCGTCACCCGCAGTCACTTTCTTTCTTCTTCACTATGTCAGTCTATTAACTATACCGTAATTAACTAACTTCCAGACGCCACTAACACTCGTTTATTATTACGCTTTATAATAAACGAGTTATTATAAAGCGTAACACACAACACGAATACCGAATGTTCGGATCAAAGGTCACTTCCGTTTCGCGTGGCAACAATTATTTCTAGAACAATTCCGACGTTGATCGCAATCAATGTTAACTTCCTAACAATTTGTTAGCCAGGCTTCTAATTCTAAACTTAACAAAAAACCCTCGTCGTGGCAACAATTTGCTAACAAAACCGACTCTCAAAATGGAGGTTTCCCGGGCGACTTCACGACGTGCTCTCGACAGCACTGTATTCTAGCAACTGTTCGACTCGACCCAGCCGCCGGTAGCAACCAACTGGCTGCAATCCCCGGACGCGGGCCGCTGGCAACAAAACTCCCGTTAACCGCCCACACGTCTAACCGGTTATGAACGCGCTGTATCGAGCCGCGCACCCTCCGGCGTCAAGTTTCGAAACCAACGTTTGGGCGTGAACATAAACAACAGTGCGGACTATTTATCGCGAGCGAGCTTGTCCGATATCACGGGGGACGCGGGGAGTAGTGTGAACAGCGACGGCTCAAGCATACACATAGGCTGACACACTCGACCGCGCATCTTACATTAACTTTGTCACAGTCCTGTGGCGCGTAACATATTACGTGACGTCACGAGTAAGGGTAACGTTCTAAATAAAGTAAAAAAATATGTGATATACGGGTGGCCTAGGAAGGTGTATGATATTAACATAAAACCTTACTTTTTATGTAAGACACAGTTATCTTTTGAAGATGGATGCTTAATGCGAGGGCACAAAATAGTTTTGACTGAGCGGTTGCGATTAAAGATTCTGTCCGAGTTACACAATTCCCATCTTGGTGTGGTAAAAACAAAAGTGGAAGCTCGGTTTAGGTTTTGGTTCCCGGGTATTGATGCAGCCATAGAAGAAGTGATTGGATCACGCAAAATATACACCCAGCTGCGTCATTCCTCACAATGAACGCCTATATCACCATGGAAATATCCTCCATTACCATTTTATAGGATCCACATGGACTTCTTAGGACCGTTACATGGTCATATGTACTTAGTAATTGTGGATGCTTATACAAAATGGCTGGAAGTATACGAAGTACCGTCCACTTCGTCGTCTGTGATCGAAAAACTCTACGAGTATATATCGAGATTCGGATTACCTCAAACTGTCGTGACCGACAACACAGCTACATTTACTTCACACGAGTTTAAAAAGGAGATGAACTTCGTTCCATACAAGCTTGGGCCCGGCGTAAATAAAGTTCAAATATGTCTTAATTTGAAGATTTAAACATTTGTTACTTATGACGAAAAATCATATTTTTGTAGGACCTGGGGTTTTGGTTTTACTTTGTCTTATTATTTGTAGGTTATGTAGTAAAATCACTCGTTCTTGGTAAAAAGTTGTTTCAATAAATTGAAAATAGAACACAAAAGGATGCCGTTTTTTATTTATTATTAAATAAAATAATATACAACACAAACTTTTCTAATTGTTTAATTATTTTCTGCAATTATTAATAAAATGTCATCTAGAAAAGCAGCCGGAGGCTGTACATTGTCTGTTCTATTCCTCTCAAAACCCAAGTAACACATTATTAGTCATTATCATTATGTGGGCGCAACAACTTACTGTCCTGTAAATCGAGAGAAAACCCAGGGGTCAAGTTAAATTAATTCACGAAAATAAAAACACGAAATATATCCACAAACACAACTACAGTATTAGTATTCTGTGATCTGACCTGAATGTTGGCAGTTTTGCATAGGGGTGTCCACTTTGAAAATACATCGATGTTTTTTTTCGATGTGATGCATCGAAACTGTGCAATCGATATATTCCGATGCATCGGTTAAAAACATCGATGTTTTTTCAACATCGAGTACTTTTTCTGACTTCAAACAACCGACAATTTTGAATGATCTACTACTCTTACATCAGTACTGTCTGCCCGCACGCCTTTTGTGAGTGTGTATGTGTGTTCAAGGATGTTAGTTAGGTAGATAGATATCCTTAATTGCATGACACACAAAGTGTCTTATTCGTAAGAACTAATATATTGTTAACAGACGTAAATATTCATAGTTATTTATTTGTATTATTTATATTTGTATGTTGATGTGTATATATGTATGTATACGTCCGTATGCATATATTTGTATATATGCATAAATAGGAGATATTTCTATAGTATATTTGTTTTATATATTTGTAAAATTAATATATAACTTAGTTAATTATCATTTTTAATTTGATATTATTTTATACTGCTACACCTACGTCAAATTCTCGTGCGTTGACTGGTAGATTTTTTTTGTATTATTCCCTTTTTATTCTTTTATATTAAGGAATGCAATAAAGAATAAATAAATTATTATTTATGATCATTCACCTACTACTAAATGGACGGCGGAACTAGAACAAAATTCACGAAAAATGTGTTCCGAGTCAACTTATACAAACGTATTAGATATATAATTTTACTTGCGACAATTTATCAGCCTTTTAACTTCAACCAGAGGCTGCATTCTTTTCGCCTTATGAAGCTTCTAGCGAAAATTATCGGTATGGTTTTTTGTTTTTACAATTAATGTGAATTTATATTAAATACTACGTATCTTGTATCTAAACAAAATATTATTTTTAAATTATTAAATATTAATAGTCTAATATAAATAGTATCGAAAAAATATATAAATAGTTTTGCTCGTTTTATGATACTGTACGGCAATTTGGAGTGTATTATCGGGCGACAAAACGAAGACTGGCGTTCAATTCGAGCTCTTTGTGCATTTTGGAACTCTTTTGGCTCGGACACTTTTGAGCGCATAGCCGAGGTCCATTTAGTAGTAGGTCAATGTTTATGATATTATTTTAAATGATAAAAATTGATACATTCACAATAAAAATACTTACATATGGAATAAAACTCCATCTTTTTGTAAACTTTAAGTATTTGACTGCTTTATGCACAACGTAACCGCACCGATTGGCATTTTTCAAAAAACACCTACTTAGCCGGAAATGATTCTTATAAGGATAAAAATCTAGTGCGTTTATAAAAACGATTCCGTAAGCAGGTTTAATCAACGCACAAGATTTTTAAATCCAATATCTTGGCAGAGGGCAATAATCATGCGAGACGAGTCCACTGTGTTAAATGGTCTAAAGGCGCTAACTCACTTGCCTGCCGCAGGGGCAATCTAGGGTGTAGAAGTGGGGATTACCCTTAATTTCCTCCTTAATTGTGATGTGTGTATGAAAGCAGGGGTAATTTCCTAAGTCGGCCCTGTGGCTGGGCGGCAGGGGCGCAAGAACTTCCTTGCTCCCTAGATCATAGCTACCGCTGCCACGTGTGTAGCGTAGTTGGAACAATTTCAATCAGTTCGTTAATGACTTTCGCGCGCAGCACACTTCACAATAGATATCAATAAAAAATATGAAATTTGGACACTGGTGATAAAAGTGTATAAACAGCGGCTTCTTCACCTATTATCTCCTTTTTGTTTTTTTACGGCAGCACCGCAGAAGGAACGTTATTTGAACGTTGTAACGTTTTTAAACGTGGTAGAGTCATGCTGCAGCTTTTAAGGACTGTGTTATGGTTGTAATTATTAATTAATTAGTTGTTTTATCATAAATATGGGTGTCTATGGGCCACAGTATCTCCTTAACATCAGGTGGACTGTGCTCATTTGTCACCCTTATTCTTTATAAAAAAAGAACCAAGGCATATTTACCGATTAATTGATATTTCGATAAAACTGGCGCCATTCTCAATGCATGTGTCCACCGAGATGTACACTTTCATACTGAACGGCAAGTATGTGTGTAGAGAGCAATTCTGATACTGTCCCGATCGCCGTTCATCCTAGATTGCCCTGCGGCATGCAAGTGAGTAGCCGCCTTAAAACCGAGACAGACCAGACGATTTTTTTTATTCTCTTTAGCACCGTGTTGCCAACCAGCCAATTTCTTGATTCCGCTAAGAACTGACAGCTGCCAAGTAGCGCCACCAACAGGTTTAATATTATAACTTCTAAATAAGAGCGCTGTTTTTCTGATTTAGAAGTTATAATATTAATAGTGATAGATAAGTATACCCTTTTTACCATTGGATGGTTATCATTGATTCGATGTTTTATGAAAATACATCGATACATCGAGTATATCAATAACTTTCCAATACATCGGTTCGATTCGATGCATCGTATTGTAAACATCGAGTGAATTCGATGCATCGATGTATATCGAATATCCCTAGTTTTGCAATTTGCATTTCAATTTCCAACGGTTTTCGATAATTCGATTGTGTAGTGTTTTATGGTGTTTATCAAATTTAAGAAACTAGTAAAAGTGAAATTCTCATTATAATTATGTCAATTTTTAGTGAGCTACTATCTAAAATCTTTGAGATATCTGATGCTTACACAAAAAATTTCAATGAAGACCTTAAGGTAATCTATAGGTGTTAAATTAAACCGTCGTTATTTGGTGGGCTTAATAGCTCATTTGAAGTCATCAATGCTTTAGTGTTCTAGTACATTAGATACTATGATAATGTATTGAAATAAAGTGTAAAAGTGAAGGATCTTACATACTTGCAGGTAGCGTTTGAATGTTTAGATAAGTTTGAGGAGGAATTTCGAAATGCTAAGGGGAAAGCGCGGGAGAAGACCATAAAAGACAAAATTAACCTGACAACGCTCCAGAGTATTAACGAAGATGATGGTAAGCATTTTTAACCGTACATAACAGACAAAATTGTATTTGTATTTACTTTATTCATGTTATATTATTCATGTTGCTCTTGTAGATGTTTAAGATAAATTATAAGAACATTATTTTGAGCTCAGAGCTATTAAAAATTATTTTTTCTATGCAGAAATATTTGTTTATCTTCATTTAAAAGTTCTTAAAAGCAGATGATTATGCCATTTTTATTATCAATAAACAATAATGCTTGCCTACATCCTGAATACACAGATAACTACGTTCATTATATCACATACTTGAGAATATATCAAATACGACTGAATTTATATTTATTAATTGTGTCAAGTTTTTTGATATTAGATTAATTAAAATCTGTAAGGCATAAATAATAATGATGGCAAGTAGTTACAAAAATCTACACAAAATGCAGCAAAAAATTTGAAGTTTCATGCATTACCTATATAGGATAGCTTTATACAGCCACAAAATTACAGTTATTATTTATTTCTGATGGAGTTATTTCAAGTTCAGGTTTTGATTCCTACAATAATATCTAAAAATTTCAAAGGAACCATACTATACATATTTTGGGAATAGCCACTTGATTTATGAGATATACATGCCATGTTGAAAGTTCTATATAAATTTTGAGCATTGAGCAAAAGCATTCAGCTTTTAGTTGGGCTTGTTTATGCAGGTTAATTTTTTACTAAATAAATTTAAATTTGTTTTTGTAATAAATTTGTGAATTTATGTTAGTTCCTCCTAACATTAATTACCAAATGACCAACAAAACAATAAATCTGGGAGATTGTTGTGCCATGCCCATGCTTTTTTTATAGGATAGGGGTAAAGAACAAGCACACAGTCTACCTGATGGTCAGTGGTTGCTGTGGCCCATAGACATCAACATCTATCCTCGATTACTAGCCAAAATGCAGATGCGTTGTCACCCATAAGGTCTAAGATGGAATGCCTCGTTTCCAGTAAAATGGGTCTCCGATTATTTAAATAAAGTATTTGTAATCTTAAAACATTTACTGCACAAGCAAAGATTTTTACGTGGTAGAGCCACGCTGCAGCTACATTAGTAATATAGTTGTAGCACGAATGGGTTGGCTCTACCGGGGAAGGTCCACACTCTCGCAGAATACCAGCGCAAAATACCAGCTTAACACTGCTGTGTTTCATATGGTGAGTGTAAAGAACCGGAGACCCTTTTTACTGGGAAAGTGGCATTCCTTCTTATTCCTCAAAAAAATCTCTTATGAGCTTATCTTTACAGGGGAAGCAAACAAAACCCCGGAAAACAAACCAAACCCTTCATCGAGTAATAATGAAACTGCTAATAATGTGGAAAAAGGTGTAAACTCAAAGGATAATGAGATGGAAAGAGCATCAAAAAAACGCAGCAAGAATGAAGTTGATGATATGTCAAGTCCGGAACAAGATAAGAGACTGAAAAGAAATGCTTCTGTCAAAGCACAAAGTATCATAAGTAAACAGGTAAGATTTTTTTTTTAACTTTCTAGCTGGGTGTATGTTGCATTGCTGCCATAGAAGAAATAATTGTGTAAACATTGTTTTAAAATTGGAAGAGTTATATTGTTTAATTAAGAATGATAATACATTCATTAAAATTGAATAATATATAACTTTCAAATAAATTTGTCAGTGCGATACGCGCGCCACCTACTGTAATTTAATTGTGCTATGCCTATAGCCTTCGCATAAGTGTAAACAATAAATTGACAAAGTTTTAGTGCAATCTGATGAACAAACAAAAATATTTTTTTATATATTAGATTAATTTTATGGAAGTATGTGTTAGTGTTGTAAGAGGTGACAAGGCAAAGTGAAGTTAGTGGTGGCAGCAGCATCTTGCTAGTAACTACTCAAATTTTCGAACATTAACCTCTGCATCTTCTTGTGTTTTTCATATTATTTACCGACTTCAAAAAGGAGGAGGTCGATTTATTCGACTGTATGTTTTTTTTATGTGTGTTATTTCTTAACTTTTTTCTGGGTGAACTGATTTCAATGATTCTTTTTAAAGCTGGTGCTTCTCATGTGGTCCCATATAAATTTGACCAAAGTCTGACCAATACCTTTTGAGTTATTCTTAATAATTTATATTGATGTCGGTTGTACAACAATTTTAATTTGAAATTATACTATTCGGGCATTTGTATGCTATCCTTTTGATATAAGAAGTAGTGTTGATATTTTTCACTACCACAAATCTTCTTTAACGATAGAAAACCATTTTGAGCTCAGTTTTATTTCTCTTTGCCGCCCCCAAATGAACAGAAAAATATCGTGGCTTTCTGTGATGTGGTAAAAAAACCTAGACTGGTGATGGGAAGCAGTGTCAACAATGTGATTGCAAAACTGGTGTTGGTTTTGGTAAATACTCTCTATAATAGGAGGGATCCATATCCAGTGATGAGCTTTTACACTGATGAAAATAAATTGTTTATTTTACCGATTTCAAAAAGAAAGAGGTACTCTATTCAATTTTTTTGTGTTATTTCGTTACTTTTTTCTAGGTGAACCGATTTTGATGATTCTTTTTTTATTTGAAAGCTGGTGCTTCTCATGTGCTCCCATATAAATTTGATGAAAGTCTGACCAGTGGCTTTTGAGTTATCCTTAATAAATTATATTGAAGTCGGTGGTACAACAAATTTTGCCACTAAGTGGTCAAATTAAAAATTTTGTCACAATTCTTGTTTATTGATGATAATGATCATTTCCAACTCCTCCAGTCAAATTCTGCCACAGCTGGAACTTTGGCATATAAACAAAGTAAAGGGCACTTGCAACATACCCAGCGATAACTGTTGTTAATTGTTGCTGAGTTTCGAACCTAGGCACTACTTGGATATCTTAGCTAGCTTGCAATGCGCTATTTTCTGTCCCTCATGCTCATCTAAAGCGCATAATTTATGTGAGGACAGGTATAATTTAGTTATTCAAGCCATGATATCACAAACAAGTTTAGTAAACCCTCAATGCAGTAAACCTTTTTTTTATAGGATAACGGTGACAAGCGAGCACACAGTCCACCTGATGGTAAGTGGTAAGGGTCTCCGGTTCTCTACTTTCACCATACATAACACAGCAGCACAGCAACACAACACAGCACCAACAGCAGAAGACTGGAATTTAGCACAGAGAATGGTAACGATGGACAAAATCCATTGTGCCATTCACAGTTTCCTCCCCTACAAGGCGGCAGGACCAGTCAGACTTGTTGCCATAAGGAGAGCCTGTTTGGCTCTTAAATATGTTCCTAGGGGATGGAGGTAAGTGAAAGTCACATTCATAACCAAACCAGGTAAGAGTGACTATACAGACCCTAAATTCTACAGACCCATTATTCTCACGTCCTTTCTCCTAAAGACGATGGAGAGGATGTGTGAAAGGGAATTAAGGGGGTTCGGCGCTAATGAACTTACTGCTACACTACAAACAAAACGCCTACAGCTTAGATAAATCGACAGAATCAGTACTTCACCAGGTAATAACAACAAATATTGAAGAGGCCATCCATAACAAAGTAACATGTCTAGGTTCCTTCATAGATATAGAAGGTGCTTTTAATAGAACTAACTTCTCCAGCATAAAAGGTGCATTAAGTAGACATAAAGTTAAACCGGCACTGATTAACTGGATAATAAACATGCTCAGTGCACAATTAATAAAAAATTCTAGTGAATCTCAAACAATCCAGATCAAGAAAGGTTGCCTGCAGGGTGGGGTTCTTTCACCTCTCCTGTAGAATATGGTCATTAATGAACTCATCAGCAAATTAAATGCCAATCACTTCTACACAGTAGGTTATGCAGATGACCTGACAATACTGGTCTCTGGAAAGACTGCAAGCATGGTGTGCGACCTGACCCAAGCGACTATCCATATAGTGGAGAGATGGTGTAGGGAATACGACTTCGAAATCCAAATAAAACGGTTCTAGTAATGTTCACACAAAAATGGTAAAGGTAAAATATTTAGGTCTCACCTTGGACAGTAAACTCAACTGGAATAAACACATAGAAAACAAAATCAACAAAGCTAGTATAACTTCCTGGCAATGCAAAAAACATGATTGGCAAAAGATGGGGCCTTACGCCAAAAATCATATACTGTGGCCGTACAAAACTATAATTCGGCCCATGATCACATACGGCGCTCTGGTACGGCAGACCAAAACAAATGAAGCCACCATCATAAAGAAGCTTCAGCGTTACCAGAGACTGGCATGTATGGCTGCCACAGGCTGCATAAGAACTATGCAGCCTGTGGCAGCCTTAGAGGCGATGCTGGAGCTAAGCCCACTTCATCTACACATACAACAAGAAGTTACTTTAGCTGCCATTAGACTCAAAACCCTAAATCGTTGGAGTAAGAATAGAGTCCCTCATAATTGATAGAATTCACTCAAAAATTCCTATCTTACAAGCCAAGTACAATAAGATCCATAAATAATTTGTATTCGATAAGAAGTACAAGATACTATTAAATGAAACCAGCCAGCCGGAGGGATTCAACCCAAAACAGCTTAGAGACTTCACCGATGGTTCTAAAACAAATGAAGGTGTAGGATCTGGAACTTTTTCTGAAGACCTTAACATCCACATATGCGCACCGCTGGGTACCTACAACACAGTCTTTCAGGCGGAATGTATGGGTATCATTCAAGCGACCATAACAATAGATGCTGGAAAGGTTATTAAACTTCTCCATCAGAATACTGACCGACAGTAGGGCGGTACTACAAGCCCTGAGCTGCAATATGGTGAGCTCAGGACTAATATATGAATGCCATCAACGATTAAATGAGGTATGTAAACACAACAATGTGACTCTGCAATGGATAAAGGGATACAGTGGACCCAGAGGCAACGATGCAGCAGACGGAACTGGCCAGAAGAGTATCAGCTCTGGCCACTATAGGGCCGGAACCAATCATACGAGAGCGGCACCGAAAATTTCGGGAATCAAGGAAGTGACACAACATTACTATTTAAAAATGTATTTATTGCTTTTCGAAGTATTCTCCGCGAAATTTGACACATTTTTCCATACGATGGAACCAATCATTGAAGCAAACATTCCATTCGGAAGTTGGGGTTTCCAAAATGGCCGTTTTGTAGGCGTCCACAGCTTCTTCAGGTGATGAAAATCTCTGTCCACGCAATTTATTCTTTATTTTAGGGAAAGTATAGAAATCATTAGGGCTTAGGTCGGGGCTGTACGGCGGATGGTCTAATAATTCTATGTTTTCTTGCTCTAAAAACTCTTTTGTTCTGTGTGCGGTGTGAGAACTCGCATTGTCGTGATGGAGGATGATGCGGCGGTTGCAGTTCTCTTTACGGAGTTCAGAAACGACCTGTGGCAAACAAATGCTAGCATACCATTCTGCATTAACCGTTCTTTGTCCCTCAAGAGGAATAGTCGTAACATGGCCGGTTTTGGAGACAAACGTGGCCACCATTTTTTTTTAGCAACACTCCGTGAACGAACAATTTTTGTTGGCTTTAACTCAACTTCGAACACCCAAACTCGTGACTGGTTTTTTGTTTCGGGTTCGTACGCGTATATCCAGGATTCTTTACTTGATACGATGTTGTATACAGCATTTGAGGATCCTGCGTGGAATCTTTCGAGAGTTCTGACGCACCAAGTAACGCGAGCCGCTTTTTGCTCTTCACAGAGCGAATACGGTATCCATCGGGAAAACAAATTTTTTACACCTAATTGTTCATGCAAGATTATTTATATTTAACTCATGCCAATGTCTAAAGTTGCCTGAATTTCGTGGTATGTCACATGTCGATCTTCCTCAATCAGCTTACGCACAGCATCAACGTTTTCTTGGGTGACTGCAGTTTTTGGACGACCTTGACGGGGATCATCACTGAGCTTGACACGTCCACGTTGAAATTCAGCAAACCAGCGATAAATTGTGGTTTTGGATGGGGCTTCATCACCAAATGCAGAAATCATCCGGTCAACACACTGTTTTTGTGTTAAACCACTTCGAAAGGCATAATAAATCATCGCTCTTGAATTTTCTCGAGTCAATTCCATTTTCTCAACGACTAAACAAGTCTGACAAAACCTTGTGAAAAAGACCGAGAATCTTTTTTTCAATTAAAAAGATTTTAATATGACAGGAACAGTGGAAATATTCTATTCCCGATACTTTTAGTGCAGCCTATGTAGATATCTCGTCTGCATATGACAATGTTCTTCTTCCTGTGCTCAGGCAAAAAATGCTTAATCTGAGTATTCCAGTGAGGATAGTAAATTTTGTCTCTAACTTTCTCTCTTCTAGATCCATTTATATTGATAGTCAAAATTCTCTACTCCCGCCAAGAATTGTATGGAAGGGTCTCCCACAAGGCTCAGTACTTAGTCCTTTGCTCTATTCTATCTATACTTATGATCTAGAACTTTCTGTTAACTCTTTGTGTAACATCCTCCAATATGCAGACGAT